TAATGCACTCATACAACAACACCAACACGATTTGTAGGAACCCAAAAACAACATCAAAGGAACGGACAAGTCAGAAATAAATCTATGCACCTCTAATAGAGAGGCCAAACATTGAAACACCTTGCAGTTTTTCTGTGACAAAGTCCAACTACTGCAGAAGATTTTAAGCATTCTAAGATGAACTCAACATCTAAACAACCCAGTTGTCAACCACAAAATAACTTCACATGCAGGAGTTAGCCTGAAAAGCTACAGAGTCATGCACACACAAATCTAAGAGTAAGAACTAATAATATTTATACCGTTCCTAAATTCTCTAAACTTTTTGAATGTCATCAGGACAAGTTCTGTCACTCACTCGTTTATACACCCAATTTCACCTCCACTGCCATTTCATGGTTCCAGCCTAACAAAATTTCTTACCATCCTGGTTATGTGAAGCTACATCTCATTTAGATCATATGTTATATACTAATAATCCCAAGCAGAGTACATTTGAACTTACATCCCCCTAAATCTCTTTGCATCAGCCTTCAAATTTTCATCATCGTTACCCTTAGGTTTATAGAAAATATGTCTGCTGTAATAGTGCCAGAAACAACTCTGGCCCATCTCAGATGATTCAGTTCAAAGTTGAATACGAATTCTATGACTATTAGGGCATAGACTGGATCCATTTAGATTGATTCAAATTAAACTCATCATATACAGTAATAATAAGTTTGTTTACCATAAAATTTTTTATACGAGGAAACTTTTAATCTCATCATTTACGATTGCCTGAGTAATGGATTGAAATTCCAAATCCCAAAACACAGTCTTTTGTCTTGAATAGAAATCCAAAAGGCATCCTCTGTGAGCTCATAGCATAAAGTCTTGGCAGCTGCCACCTAGGATCATCAGTATTGATGCAGGACCATACAGTTTTGATGCAACTATTAACTATTTTGGTCAGGATTAGTCGAAGCATGATGAAGCGTTGATCATAAGTCTAGTTGATAAAGGTTCTGGAATGGAAAAAGGGGTTTTGGTGTCAGTTTAGTAGTTCAGGGGCTGTGAACAGTACATGTCAACAGTGAAAACAGATTCAAACGGTGTCAAAGCTCTGAAATCTCTTTTCCCAAAAAAATCTCTTGTGGGCTAAATTTCTTGTCCACCTATTTGTACTTATCAAAATAATGAAAAACTTAGAACTATTTCCGTGTATATATAGCTTCCAAGAGATCGTCTACAAATGTTACAAGTCTAACCAAGGATCAAAATTTCGTTTCGAAGTACCGTTTCGGTCACTCAAAAATAGAAACGTTTCGGAAACGCAATGGAAACGCAGAAAAATATAGAAACGCATAGAAACACAAATACAATCCATTAATTTATAAAAATATGCTAAATAATTGATTAATTCAATATATTTATTAGGTTAACATCAATTTATACAAGAATAAATTTAAATTTGAGGGAAAAAAAGCTTGACATGAGGCGAAAGTCACTTAAATTAGTTTCAAACACTTAATTTTTATGAAATAAACACATTTTTACATAATATTAAGGTCTTATAATACACATGAAATGCTAATGAGTACATACTTACATGGTTACATCCATCCCCCTGTGGAGTGTCGAGCAGGCTCATACATCGGTGTAAGCTCTGGATAGTTACTTAGAGAAACTCCATATGTGACATAAATATGATGACAATAGTTACTCCAAATCATATTATTACGGTAATATTATCCAATTAATAATACTATTTTATTATAATACTAATAATGAAGGGTATCAAATTAAATTAATGATACTCATGTATACTTAAAAATTAAATGTAATTGCAATGGGTATTAAATGTAATTACAGTAGGTATTAAATATAATTACATTAGGGTATTAAATGTAATTGTTAATACTTATAACAAAAAAAAAAGCAAAAAACTTGCACAGCAGTAAGGTATTAAATATAATTACAGTAGGTATTAAATATAATTATAATGGGTATTAAATATAATTATAGTAGGGTATTAAGTTTAATTATTTATTCTTATAACAAAAAATTATAAAAGACAGAAGAGCAATGGGAATTAAATGTAATTATAGTGGGATATTAAATATAATTATAGTGAGTATTAAATGTAATTACAGTGGGTATTAAATGTAATTATAATGGGGTATTAAATGTAATTATTCATAATAAACCAAATATATCACTGTTTTGTCGAAACGGTCCGAAACAATGCCGTTTCGACCAAAACGGTCCGAAACAGTACCGTTTCAACCGAAACACTGGAATTTTGTGATTCAACTACTGTTTCGTTTTGGAGTGTTGAAATTCCGAAACGTTTCGGACGTTTCGGATGTGTCGACACGACATTTTGATCCTTGAGTCTAACTCGATGTTACAAGGAGTTGGTACGTGCTACAAGTACGACTACACGGTACAATTTTTTCTCCAATACGCAATGCAACAGAGGTAGACTTAGTTCACACGTTGTTTTGGTTCACAATCATTTGGGAACATTTTACTTGGATCACCCCCTCTACTACTTCAAATCATGTATAATTATGCATCTACACCCACAAATTCAATTAATATTTATCATATTTACAACAAAAGTTTGAAAGCCAATCATAATCCAAAAACTTGTCAGCTAATGGTTGTGACCGACAAAACTAATAATTGCATTTTGTATTAAAAAAATTTAATCAAAACAAATAATATAGAAGTTTGAAAATCATCAAAATACCAATAACAATCACAATTTGGGGTCGAGAATTTGGATAATCTAGGTCGCCAACCCATCCCATTTGGGTCGTGTGAACTAGTACCATGAGATGCATGCCTGGGCGGATCTAGTAAGGGACAGTCAATTGTTTTTCAAAATTTTTTGATATGTATCGAGATATATGAATTTAAACATTATTCAAATATATTTTGTGGTGCCCACCATATCACTTTTATCTTAAGATGGTATTTTATGAGAACATGAGTTGTGATTGATCTATAAATACATATTTGGTTAGTTTTATAGTTTCTGAATTTTCTTCAATCTTTGACTGTGAATACATATTATGAGGCTTTTGGATTTACGTTCTCAATTTAAAAATGAAATTTTTTAAAGATTAGTCTACAATTAGTCTTTGTTTTCCTACGACTTGCGGTCTTTATTTTTCTACAACTTACTATTTCTATTTTTCCACAACTTACCCGTTGTTGTTAGATAAATTAAAAGCTAAGATTGTAAAAATTTGATTGTATAACCGAATGGATATCAAAGGATAATGACTGATAACTTGATTATATATAGGAAAAGATTTTTTTTTATGACACCAACAATGAAATTATTGTACAATGCTTTAAAATATAAAAAATCTGGTCAATTGCAATTTTTTTGCAAAAGGTTGTAATTAGTCTTTTTTTTCTGTAAATGATCGACTTTTGGTTCTTTTGTGTTCAATGAATTTTTATGTATCTAATATGATGTAATAGGTATAATAATATTATTTTACTTTTGTCAATAGGAAGAAAAATATTAAACCTTGTCGTTAAAGTGCCCACCTAGAAAAAAAATTCTGGCTCCATCCCTGCATGCATAGGTTGATTGCGTCCCGTATCCTTGGTCTAACCCAACTACACCAACTAATGTGAACCAAAAACATAAAAAGAGTCAGAATAAGTCCCAACTACTACGACACATTCCATAACATTCTTGCAATTATAGATATGTTCCTGACTCCTATAAACATTATAAACCTGTATAAGATTGAATCAGAAGAATAAAAGTCAAATAAAACATAAATACAACTTTGCATAAGACTCGGTACTAAATCATGCAAGATCCCATCCAGGGGCAGCATCATCCAACACATGCCAAATCAGGGCTTGGGCTTTGGAAGCATCCTTCCCACGCCACTTGTAAACATCTATAGAAAGCTGCCACTTATTATCATCGGCTATTCAATGCCACATTCAATTTAAACCTGTTAACTGGTACAATTTATTGTCCAACTTTGTAATACTCATAAAATTCTGGGGTACTTCACAATCAAAATAAACAACCCAAAATCCAATTCATATGAATAATTTACACCAGTGAAACTTAAACAAATAAACCTAGGATATAAACTGCAAAAATCAGGTAGCCCAGAATTCAGCAAACTGGGAAAGACAACCCAAACCACATAAACCAAGGCAAAGAAATGGTCGAACTTGAGGATTTAAAATGACTAAAATGTATGGCGAAGTTATAATAACTATCACATGAACCAAACTAGATATGTAGACCAAGAATGAAGTAGCATCAAAGAAACATACACACAAAATTGAAAATACAGTTCACCTTCCCAAGAAAGTGTTCTAATTAAAGTGCTTCTATTAGTCTAAGGTGAAAACATGATTTCTCATAGAAAATAGATGCCCAAGTAGAAAAGCCAAAATATATTTAATGATTTGATCAATCACCTTCAGCTCATTATATGCAGCATAGTACTGCGGATACCTTGCCCTGGGTCCTCCCAAGGCTTCTTGCCATGTATCTATCAAAATTAAAATCTTCTCCCTTATATTCAAATCTGGCTGCACAAATTAAAATTAAAAAATTAGAGTACAGGAAATATTAGTATCACAATGGGAAAAAGAATCATGAAAGAATATAATTGGCACCTTCTTCTTCACAATTTTGACCATTTCATGTAGGATGTCCCGCTCGACAAACTGCTGAAACACATTCTCCCCACAATTTTTGCTAAGAGTCTCCAACACCTAAATCAGAGATTTCATTACGTTCGAATATGGTTGCATTATTTGTGTCTAGGATGCTTATTGTTGTGTCCCCACAAATTAGCAACACATCCATCCAGTAAGTGGCCACATGCATAACTCATATGCTAAAAGCTGAAACAAAGTAATATCTAGTCTGGAGTTTTGATTTTGCTACTGCAACCAAGTTATGTTGGCTTATCTTAAACTGACCGACACTCAATATTGCAAAGCCGAAATATTGCGTACATTCATGAAAGCACATACGGACTTTATGAGCAGGTTCCAAAAGTTTGCTACCTCTAGTCACTGTTCTTTTAATTCACAAATAATCACTGCAATGAAATGTCCTACTATGACTATAATTGTGCCAGAATTTCTCCAATATACGTATTGAAACAGTTATGGTGGTTGAACACTTGGTAACTCTGGCACATGCCAATTAATAGACTAGTCTGCCTTCATCGCAACAGAAATAAAATATGGAAACCATGTTTGTTTGAATGTTTTCGTACACTATAAAACGTATAGATATTGAAATAAACAATAGAAAAGGAACTATATCACGAAAATAAAGGAAATGAAAATACTGACAAAGAGAGCAAGGAGCTGTATTTTAGGATTTTTACTCCCAAGACGCTTCTTGAGTATCTTCAGGGCATCCTTTGCTTGCCTGCAATTTTTATCCAATCCAATGGCAGAAAAGGAATAAAATCAAATTCAGTTCACTTATCATTATCAATTTAACACGGTAAGGAAATAAGGGAGGAATCAAAACTTAAAATATCCAAATTTAGAAAGCATAAAACTGGTTCTGAAGTAGAAAACGATGTGGAGCAAAACCACAAAAAGTAACAGCTTCAGGATATCATACCATTGATGGTCGAAAAAGGATCATACCATTTACAATTACCAAGCACTTGAGGTTGAGGGGATGCCCATAAATATTTTTGGTAAAAGAACAGGATTCAAAGCTTTCAATTCCATTTCGAATTCATTAGGAAAAGACTCCTCAACACAGAGATAAAAGAATAGAATGCACTTGCCCCAAAAAGCTGGTGAATGGACCTTGTTATGGAGCACACACAATCAAAACATGCATACTCATAGTGTAGAGAATAGACAGTTACAGGTACAAACTTAAAGTTATTTCAAAACTTAGGTAGCAAACCACCATAAGTCAGCTACAACTATCAACACATGATAGTAATTAGTTGATACGCGTAGCACGCATGCTCATGCCTTATAGTGTATATTTACACACAAGAAAAAGGTGAAACATCCATAGTTGTCAAATCGTGTATCGGAAGGCGTATCGTTTTTTTAAAAAAGTGTATCGTATCGTGTCGTGTATCGTAAGATACGCGCAATTTTAATTTTTAAATAATTATTAATAAATTATATGTATATACCTTTGTAAAAAAAGTCATAAACTCATAATAACATAGCATTTCATTAATATTCCATCAACTATTCAGGTTCTCAACATAGTTCAGTAATATTAAAATGCAAAAACCTCTAATTCAAACTTTTAACATCAACTACTTGAACAACTTTAATATTAATCAGGAATTTTGAATTCAATTGAACAACATTCACAACAGACTTTATTTTTTTTTTAATTCATAACCACTGAAATGACGTTATTTCATTAGCTAGTGATTTAAAAATAAGTGTTGGGGTAAAACGATATCATTTCAACTCCAAAAAACCAAAAAAAAAAAAAAATACAGAATCTTCACATATCGGGCGTATCGTATGTATCGTATCGTGTATCGTACAATATGGTGCAGAAACGATATAGAGATATGATATGTATCGTTTTTAAGGTATATCGTGACGTATCGTACGATACTAATGACTATGGAAACATCACAACATATAATGAAGAAATTTATCAAAGAGTAGGCACAGCAAAAGGCAAAAAAAAAAAAAAGCTTAGGGAACACTACTAGAAGGTAAGTACAAATTAAAAGCCTGTGAAGTTCATCCTTGCCAGCAATTGAAGAACCATCAAACACTATAGGCATTATAAGTTGTTGCAAGGTGCTAACAGGGGAACAAAATATTTAGTTTCTACCATAAAAAGACTGGTTTCAGAGAATGTAGATACCATACCAAGTATCACCTATAAATTAAAAATTCAACCTAGTTTTAGCAATATGCAAAATGGTATGGCAGCAATATCATCTCACAACCACAGGCATGCTTATCACTTCCATTTTTCTCACATTTCACGTCTACCCCTTCTTCCTCTTCCAACTTTCTGAAACGCTATATGCACAATACTCTTCTATTGTTCTTCACTCATTTAATGTAAATTTATTCTTTCAAACAAAGATATGAACCACATTCCTTGTGAATATTCAATCGAATTAAAATATTCACTCCCTAAATCACTTTTTTCGCAGGTTCTGTACTTTTAGGATATGCTTCAAACCCATCTTAACCTTCGGTTCCAAGGAAAATTTGTGGCTCATAATTTTCAGATTTTGTTTTGCAAACCCTCCTTAATTGGGGATGCTTAGTAAGTGAATCAAATTTATCCACTGAATTCTGTCCAGGGAAGTACATGATCATAGCTTTCTTGCTAACTGGAAAGCTATTATCCCTGCTAACAATAGAACTTGGAGGGATGGACAAGAGAAAGAATCAACATTGACATAATACATGAAGTGTCTGCCATATACTTGAACTTGTACACTCATGCTTCATATGCCAAGCACTTCACCATTGAACTAAGCAATAGCCTTTATTTTACTATTTAATTGAAGTTCATTGTGGTTAGCCGACCCAGAATAGTTCGGATTAGGGCTTTGTTGAGTTGAGTTGAGTAGAATTAAAGTTCATTTTGGTCTGCCCCTACCCAAATCTTACCATTAAAGGTGATTGAGTCAATCTTCCGAACTGGTGTAATTATTGATCCTCATGACAGATAACCAAACCATCTTTGTGGATTATATCGTAATTTATTTACAATTGGTGCTACCTCTATTGCCTTAAAGTTTTAACACCTTATTCATCTTTTTGCCTAATAAACATCCGCAAAACCCATATGAGATACAAAAGAATATGCAATTCTTTTTTTCAAATTACATTGGCCAGAAGATGTTAAAGCTGTATAGATTATTTGTATTGTGCCTACTGGGGGTTTGCTTTGTCATGTGGAATCCTCCATTTAATTGCAGGAGAAGATATCCTAGGGCCCTTCAGTTGCACTTATATTAATAGGTTATTTTTTGGTTGCTCTTCACTGAATCCCAAAGAGCTTTGGTGTATAAAACCTGTCTTTATCCTTCATCAAAATACATAGATTACGCAACATGCCAAAAGTTCTTGTCATACAAACATCGTCATCTCAATCTCTCTCTTCACATAATAATCAGGCCAAAGTAATGATATAGCTCACTCTTTATCAAACCTAAAAGTTGTTTAGCACATATTGATTTCAATATTTCACATAACAATCAATGATGAATAATTGTACAAGAAAAATAAAAATACCCAGGATTCATGTTGATTATATCGCATAGCTGGATGTTTATTTCCCAATCTGGAGCATTCAGCATATCACTTGTGGCCCTCTCAGCACAAGCTGCTGCATCATTAGCCATATCTGTCTACTGTCTATCCCTCCTCCAAAGTACCCCACCTTTGATCCTGCTAAAAATCACAAATACACCACCACGTTCTCCAATTCAAACATTCGCACCACACTGAAGTAAAAACACAAAGATACACAAATACAGATACACACACAATTGAATCAGAGCAATAACCCATCAGGCAATTGAGAAACAAGCAGAAATAAACTCTCGGAATATGATCAGAATCACAATTAAAATTAATCGAACTAAAATTCATGAACACAAACCAAAACCAAACAAGAATGAGAGAAGCACAAAATATGAATCACCAGAATCATTATTAAAACTAATCACACTCCAATTCAAGAATACGAACCAAAACCCAACAAGAATTAAAGCTTCAAAATCCAAAAATTAACTGAAAATAACAACAACAACAACAACAACAACAACAACAACAAAACCCAGTAATTGACCGCCGAGGATTATGTTTTTACACCAACAAATTCCACAAGCAGCTTGAACCTCAAAAACCCAGTTCAGATAAAGATCAAAAAATGGAAGAATCTAGGAGAGACCAACCTAAGAAGAATAAGTCAGGATCCTTGGAAGATTACCTGTCAGAACGCCCACAGTCTAGTCCGAGAGAGAAAGTATACAGATATAACAATGCAGAGAGAGAAAACAAAGACAGGTATGTAAAGGGTCGAGTGGTTTTTCACTTTTTTCTTTGGGTGGTGGTCTGTCTTTGGTACATTTGGCACTTTTCTCTTTGCGTCAGCCTTTTGACATGTAATTCAATTGTCTTAATTAAGATTGCAACCTTAATAATCGACCAATCTTTTGACTTCAGCTGCTCCTGTAAGCATTAATCACTTTTCCAATTGTTTGACTTTTTGTTCTTGATTTGTGGGTAAATTGTGTGATTCGTAAGCGCGTTTTGAACGCCCACCCACCACTCTCTGACTCCAAGGGCCCTTGGCTTCTTGTGTGGAACACTTGATGTTGCTTGGCATTGACCAATTGGAGGGTCTGTCATCGGCTCAGACCACTAGATTCATCTAGAAAGTCACTTCTCCGAATCTCGTACGATGCAAATGTGACATCAAACCTGGATGAATCCGATGATGAATAGAAGAATTATGCCCTATTGCTTATTCTCAACCAAAATACACACTAGCTTTGTTATTGCGTAATCTGACAAAAAAAAAGTCAAAAATATCTGATTTTTTCCAGTATTTTCATGCGTCAAACTTATAAAAATATTGATAATTCTTAACCTCAACTCACTAATCAAATAAACAATTGATAATTCTTAACCTCAACTCACTAATCAAATAAACAATCAACAAGACATCGTCAAAAATTAGATTAGTTCTAATAGGTTTTGGTCACTAATGTCTTATCCTTATCGACCCTAGTAACAAATGGGACAACATGAGCCTGTCTAGACACCTCACGAAGCCGATTATACATAACTTATACACGACATAAGCAATACAAATATTAATAAGGATCGAATCAATTTTGACATGATATGACTTATATATACTATATTTAATATAAATTCAATAGGAAATTTATCTTACTGCTCTGTGAAAGCCCATTCTGACATGCAGTCCAAGAGGATTTGAAAGTATATTTTAGTTTTTTTTTTTTTAACTTTTGAAAATTTTTAATTATTGTCAAGTTTCAACAAATAGGGACCTTTTCCAAAACTTAAACTTTTATATAATTTATCAATCTTTTTAAAACTAGGGTTAATAGCATTTTTTATTTCTAAAGTATGCACATTTTATCAATTTGGTTCTTAAAGTATTGATTTTGCTAATTAAGTTCTTAATGTATATAATTTGTGTTTAAATGACCCCTACATTGACAGATTATTAAGTTTTTGACGGAATGACCATGTGTTTGGTACGTGATACAGTCTGAAAGAATAATATATGATCATTTCGGTCAAAAAACTTAAAGAATTGTTTGATTAGGAATCAAAATGACATGAATTAAAACTTTAGAGATTAAATTATCAAAATAAATATAATGAGAATTAAATTGATAAAACGGACATATTTTAGGGGCTAAAAATGGTATTAATCCTTCAAACTATCTCTCAATTTTTGGAGAATAGGTGAATCTCAAAAATTATGATAATTCGATTAATGAAATAAAAAGGCAGTCGTTCTCTTGAAGCATTAATTTGATTATATCATTAAAAAAAAGGGTAATTATGTGAATGACATTTACGACAAGGAGGCTCATATCATATTTTTTTAATTTTTATCTAATAAAAATGTGTTCCGTTTAAAGATTTCACACTTCATTATTCTTTTTTACTTTATCACTTTTTTCAATTAGCAATCGTAAATAATTCAACTCAAAATTAATGGTTGAAATGAATCATGGTATGATACTAACATCGGTATCATAGCCTTATCCATTCACAATATGTCATTACACATAATATATGATTATCACCTATGCTCTTCTCATAATGAACTTATCCAATGTTAGTGTGTTCATTACGTCTCACTTTGATTCTCGTTTTTTTCACTTGTGCCACTCTAAACCCTAAAGTTTTCAATTATGTTTAAAGTAAGGAGTAACATGTACTTAAAGGTATGGTGCAATGTGAATGGTTTTGAGATGGATATTGTTGGCCATTGAATGAGTTTATTTGATATCGTCGAATAAACTTATTGAAACATATCATGTTTTATATTGTAAAATGTCAAATCAATTATGGACATTTAAATAAGGAACGAAATATGTGTACTTTTAAGGATTAAAATATACACAAAATATCACTTTAGCTTCTTAATCACGTATTTGTCAATTACATCCCTATTTTTAAAAAAAAATACCAAGTGCACTTCAATTTAAACACACATCACCAATTAAAGTATTAGATAATTGAAAACTTTTTGAGGGGGGTAATTGGCAAATGTGACATTTCTCAGATTATTTAATGACACACAAGTCTACTTAGTGTAATGTAATACGGCATAATTAAAAAAAAAAAGGGACCAACCAAAGCGAGACATGACGTAAACTTGAAGGGCAAAAAATAGTTTTAATAAAAAAATTTAATAAGTCTTCCGTTTCTATTACAAGATCATTACTAATGGAATCCAAATGATTTCTGAATTGCTCAGAAAATCCTTCAATTGATTAAAATCTATTACTTGAATGAAACTAGATTTTGTGGAATTATATTAAATATTTGACAATACACTCCGTACCCTAATAAACAATCGATCTTTGTTTACCTTTCTCAACTATACATTGTCTAACCAAGTTAAATTATCTCTTGATACGTTCCCCAAAATATCTAATTGGGACAGATTCTTTTCCCAAGAGATCTTTGCGGAATTGTCACATATGAAATATTAAAGCAATTAGGTGTTACTTCAAAAATAATGTTGTGAATTAGTTCAAGACTATATACTTACCACAATTTTGCACCTTTTCATAGGAATATCAGATAGACTTTCTCTTCTAATTTTAAAATCAATTTCATTTTTTTTTTCTAATAACAAATACTATGTAGGGTGATTTCCAAACAATTTAACCATTTTGCACCAAATTGTTGTGTTGTCCGTCAAAATTTTCGACATTGTTAGTTCTTAATTATTTTAGAGTAACTTATAATTTATACCTTTTAAGTATGCAAATAATTTTTATTTGGTCCCTAAATTTTCAATTGATACAATTACATCTTCAAAGTTCTAACCGAATTTCAATCCAGCCATTCCATCCATATATTATTCATTTGTTATGACAAAAAGAACTCACATGTCTTGCCCATAAAGATATATTTTTCCAAGAAAAAACTCTCATATATACATTAATATTTCTCTATTTGTCTCACAATATCTCTCACAACCTCACTCTAAATATTATTTTTTTCGGGTTTATTATCTTCTTCTTTTTCTCAAAATTAAATGAAGTAAAGTAATATTTTCTAGCCTATATATAAACAAATTTTTCAGCGGATAAATAGACCTCTTGGTCATGGAAGACCATTCCGTCATAATGAATTGGTGAATTTTGATATAAGGATTAAATTAAAGCTCAATAAAATCTCTAAGATTTTGATTATTGTAATTAGAAATTCAAGCACCAAATAAGAATCGGGTGCATTCTTTAAGAGCGTAAATTATAACTTATCTTTCTTTTTAATGTTCAATTATGTATCTAACATATTCTCGAGAAAATATGTGAGAATAAGATTCACAAGCTCTTGGCCTTTTAACCAAATTTTGAATTAATTACTGGTGCAAAGTACAATTTTTACCTTACAAATTTTAAATATCTAATTTCAAAGTTATACCAAAAAGCTGCAACTTTAGAAAGAATTTATACACCAGGACTTGTAGTTGTGGGTCACAATCGAGCAACCGTGGCAAAACAGGTGCAACATGTGAAACACTGCGTACAACTGCCGGTGAGAATTTAATAAGTTTGTTATCTTTGATGATACATGATATTTTTCTATTCCAATAAAAAAAAAGTATAATTTAATAATATTTTTTAATACAAAAATAGAGGCATTGCAAGTTTTTTTTTCTTCTTAATCTAATCGAAAACTTTTCCAATCACATGCTACTTGGGCTCGAGGTTGCTATCCGAATGCGTATAATTACTTGTAAATTATGTATATCAAGTTAATTAAAATATTTTTTAGGAGAATTAATCTTAAGAACTTGAGGAAATTAACCTCTAGGACCTTGCATTTTATTACCCAGATAGGTTTACAAATGTTTCTCGGTATTACAAAAAATGAAAAAAAAAATGTAAATTTCTTATTTTCACAACACTATCTTTTTTTTTTCTTTTTTTTTTTATTTTTTGGGGAGGGAGAGGGGTTTTGAACCCTTGACCTAAGTTTTTACAATATAAAGAGTACCATTCGATCAAAAATCCATCGGTATTCACAACACTATCTTGGAGTCCAAGCAAAAGAGAAATGTTTGTAACATATTAACATTGTTTTTTATGATTGTATTGATAAATTCATAAATCTA